CTTTCTCACTGCCTCCACCTGCCAGGAGGTGGAGTGCCCCCCCCTGCCCTGCCCTCCCCTGCCCTGCCCCTTGCCCTGCCCCGCCCCGCCATCACAGCAGATAGAGCTGGAATAGGACTGAAGTCTCTGAGATGGTGAGCCAAAAGACATCTCTGCTCCGTGCTGGTGATGCCAAGTATCAGGTTACAGTGCACTGAGTCTGGAGAGTTGCAAGGACTGTCTGCAGGTCCAGGCTCCTCCAGTCCCCTCATGCCCCGGGCCATGCCCCAGCCTACCACTGTGCCTGGCACACAGTTTCTACTCAATACATGATTTTTGCTTGTGGTGCTGGAGCTCAAACCCAGGCCTTTCACATACTAGGCAAAGGTTCAGTACTCCTCACATCAGCTGAGCCCATAGGGCTCTGCGGCTTCTGTTCTGGGCTGTGCTTTGTGGTTGCCGTTTGTTTCATCTTGTTTGCTGACAAACGCTGTGAAAGGTCCCGGGGGACCAGCTGATCAGTCCCTCTGTCCCTAACCCAGGTAGGCCACTCAGATGCGCCAAGATCACACATTGTAGGAAGGACCAAGTGGCATCCTTGACTTGAGATCTGCTTTCCTGGCCATTGTACCTCTTTGCACAGAAAACTCCCCTCTGGGAGGCTGGGAAGGTGGCTCAGTGGTAGAGTGCTTGCCTCGCATGCATGAGGCCCTGGGTTCAATTCCTCAGCACCACATAAGCAGAAAAAGCCTAAAGTGGCGCTGTGGCTCAAGTGGTAGAGCACTATCCTTGAGCTGAAGAGCTGAGAGACAGTGCCCAGGCCCAGAGTTCAGGCCCCATGACCCCCCCCCCCAAAAAAAGAAAACTCCCCTCTGGCCAGTTCCTACTTAACCTTCAAGGCCCAAGTCAATCTGACCTAGTTCCCAAAGCCCCTCTATGGGCTCTGGGCCCACAGCCCCTCATCACCAGCCCCATTTATTTGGAGCCGTACTCAAAGTTCATCAGGACCTCAGATAGCTTCAAGATGGCTTCCAGCCCAGGGGCTGGGCCAGCCAAGATCAGGAAAATCTGTGAAGGCATGAACTGGGGACGGTGGGTGAGGCTGCTCCTGGCCCCTGGTCTGCCTGTGTGCCATCAGCACACCCCATCCCCCACTCCCTCATACAGGCCATGAGGTCAGCTGGGGGCAGGGCCGACTTTCCCCGGCTCCCAAGGCTCTGTCTGGGTCTCAGACACTTGGGCCCATGCCTTGGGACCTGTCCTGGAACCTGTGGTCCCCACCCACATTCAGGGTCCACACCCTTCCTCCTGCCCTGCCCGGCTGCCCTCCTAATCACATAGGCCCAGCTGAGGTGCACATGGCTCAGTGCTCACCCCGAGTGTGAGTGCACACGGCTCAGTGCTCACCCCGAGTGTGAGTGCACACGGCTCAGTGCTCACCCCGAGTGTGAGTGCACACGGCTCAGTGCTCACCCCGAGTGTGAGGTGCACACGGCTCAGTGCTCGTGCACACGGCTCAGTGCTCACCCCGAGTGTGAGTGCACACGGCTCAGTGCTCACCCCGAGTGTGAGTGCACATGGCTCAGTGCTCACCCCAAGGCTGGGAAGGTGGCTCAGTGGCAGAGTGCTCACTTTCATGCATGAAGCCCTGGGTTTGATTCCTCAGCACCACATACACAGAAAAGGCCAGCAGTGGAGCTGTGGATCAAGTGGTAGAGCGCTAGCCTTGAGCAAAAGCAGCTCAGGGACAGTGCCCAGGCCCTGAGTTCAAACCCCAGGACTGCCAAAAAAAAAAGTCATCCAGGAGAACCTGTCTTCACTGCGGCCAGGCACTTCCTTCCAGTTAAGGACGCTGTCACTGGGCGGCTCAGATGTCTTGGAGGTAACAGCTGGATTCCAGGCTGAACTGGGCCTCAGAAGGCAGTGGGTCTGAGAGGCCAGGCAGCCCTGGCTGGCAGGGTCTGAGTTGGGCAAGGGCAGCAGGCCCACAGGGTTTCAGAGGGATAGGGACTTAAGGCCACACCGAGCTTGGTCCACCTGTGCCCTCTGGAGGCGGTGCTGAGCCATTGCCTTCTAAGCTGGTGCTCTGGCTTCTCTGAAGCTAGTTCTGTCCCCAGCAGTGATCTTTCTAGTGTCCCCTCACCCCATGGATGGGCAGAGGCCTCACCCACCGGCAGGACAGCAAGGGGGCAGCCAGTGAGGGACACAAGGAGCTCAGATCAAGGGCACCAGAAATGGGGCTGCTCTCCAAGCCAAGGCTTTCGTGTATGGGGGGGGAGACTCAGTCTGATGGGGACACAACCATGGGCGCATTAGCTTCTGTGGTGGCTTGAGCTCTGAGACATGGGGAGGGTCTGCTTCCAGGATCGCCTCATAGTCAGTCCTGGGATGGGCCTCCTTTGCCAGGTAAGCCGTAAGAAGAGGAAGGAGAGAGAGAGGAGGGGAAGGAGAGGGGGCAGAGACAGAAAGGGAGAGGAAGGGGGAGGAGAGAAAAATAGGAAGAGGGAGGGAAAAAGATAGGGGAAAAATGAGATAGGGAGAGGAAAAAGGACAAAGGAATAAAGAAGAGGGGGGGCTGGGAAGGTGGCTTAGGGGTAGAGCATTTGCCTCGCATGCATGAGGCCCTGGGTTCAATTCCTCAGCACCACATAAGCAGAAAAAAAAGCCGGAAGTGGCGCTGTGGCTCAAGTGGTAGAGTGCTAGCCTTGAGCTGAAGAGCTGAGGGACAGCACCCAGGCCCAGAGTTCAGGCCCCACGACCGGACCCCCCCCCCAAAAAAAAGAGGGAGAGAAGTGGAGAAAGCCCAAGATGGTAGCAGCCATTGCCTGGCTGCTCTGGTCCACCAGTTGGGAGGGGCTCGCAGGGCTGGACGCTGGCGCTGGGGGAGGGGCTGCCAGTGAGGACTGCAGAGTAGGAAGCAGGTGGTGTCGGGCTGCGTGCCCAAGCAGGCCCCAGCTGGCGGACACCTGGTTTCATTCACTTGGCTCATCTGGGGCTTTGATGAGGTTCAGATGTGCCCGCCCCCTCCACTGGGCCCTACCTGGCCTTGCCTCTCCCTTCCTGGAAGCACCCCTCTTGGGAATCCTCCAGGGCAGACTAGGCAGGCATGGTTACACTCCGCTTCTCCCCCACCGTGGATGAGGCTTAGCCAAGGCCCAGCTGCAAGGGGCCGCATGGGTGTGGGGCATGCCTGTCACCCACGCCCTGTGCCGTCACTAGCTTACTCCCTACACTGTCAGCCCTGCAGGTCCTCAGAACCATAGGCTGTGCAGTAGGGCCCTGGCCTTTTCCTTCCAGGAAAGGGGTCAGGGAGGGTGTGCACTGCTGGCTACTCCCGGGAAGTCCCAGGCCCACAGCCGCTGGCCTTGTTCACATGAGGGTGTGGGGAGGCCAGGGCCAGACCTATGCCCAGCCTGGGAACTCCACGCTTGGCAAGAGTTCACAGCTGGGTCCTTACAGCCTGGGACAAGAGGGAGTGCTGTTTTCACCTAGCCATCCCACTGCTGGTGTGTGCCTCTGAAAGCCACATGAGGCTGAGCCAACCCTGGGCGAGGACTGGCGTGTCCTGAGTGGGTCCTGGGCGCTGTCCCTCAGCTCTTCAGCTCAAGGCTAGCGCTCTACCACTTGAGACACAGCGCCACTTCCAGCTTTGTTCTTTTTGCTTATGTGGTGCTGAGGAATCTTACCCAGGGCCTCAGGCATGCAAGGCAAGCGCTCTACCCCTGAGCCACCTTCCCGGCCCCCCACTTCAGCTTTTTCTATGTGGTGCTGAGGAATCTTACCCAGGGCCTCATGCATGCGAGGCAAGCGCTCTACCACTGAGCCGCCTTCCCGGCCCCCCACTTCAGCTTTTTCTATGTGGTGCTGAGGAATTGAACCCAGGGACTCGCACTCTTACCACTGGGCCACCTTCCCAGCTCATCCTGGGGTGCCCTTAAGCCCAAGGTCTTGGCCACCCCTGCCCCCTGCAGGGACAACATGGGCATAGCAGATAGGGTAACCCGAGTTCTTTTGTTGGAACAGCCCACTGGTCACAAAGCCCACAATGGACAACAATGGACCTTCCAGACAAGCCTGTCTTTAAAAGCTACCTCAGGGATTGAGTCAGTGGGCCGAGCAGTACAGCTGGGAACATTTTGAACCCAGGACCCAGGCCGTCTACCTTGGGGACAGGCACACACCATCATCCCACCTGCCACCTGGATGTGAAGCAGGAACACCTCACCTTTCTAGTGTCAAGACGCACGGGCACGCCAGGTAATGTAGGTCAGCGCAAATGAGGCCCTAAGGCATTTGAGCTAACTGGAAAAATGCTGTTTAAAAAGTACTAACTCGGGCTGGGAAGGTGGCTCAGCGGTAGAGCACTTGCCTTGCGTGTCTGAGGCCCTGGGTTCGATTCCTTAGCACCACATAAGCAAAAAGAAAAAAGCCGGAAGTGGTGCTGTGGCTCAAGTGGTAGAGCGTTCACCTTGAGCTGAGGACAGCGTCCAGGCCCAGAGTTCAGGCCCCACAACCGGACCCCACCTCCCCCCAAAAAAGTACTAATGCACTGGTGGCTCACGCCTGTAATCCTAGCTACTCAGGAGGCTGGATCTTAGGATCATGGTTCAAAGCCAGCTGGGGCAAGAAAGTCCCCAAGACCTTATATCCAATTAACTACCAGAAGAGGGCTGTGGTTCGAAGTGGTAGAGTGCTAGCCTTGAGCAAAAGAGCTCAGGGACAGCACCCTGAGTTCAGGTCTTGGGACAAACGACTAATGGGATGTAGCTCAGTGGTAGAGGTAGCACTCTGGTTTTGACCCTCAGCACACCAAGAAAGCAACTGAACTTCAGAGTTGAGTGCCCCTATCAATCATCTCAACTCCCCCAAAAGGTGTTAGGGAGCTGCTGACCAGGGATTCATCCAACAGTGCTGAACTATGGACAGGATTGCCACTCAGGCTCTGGGGTACCTCTTGGCAATCCCCCACCACCTTACCAAGTCAGAGTCATTCCTCACATCAAAAAGAGACCTAACTTTAGTTTTCCTGAGGGTTTATTACAATACTCAAACATAGCTTTATTTTTTCTTCTCAACATCTTGTTCTGCAGCTTCCTTGGCTCTTTTAGCTCGGATACCGAAGAGCCGGGCATTGGCACGGGCCATTCGAAGACTGGCAAAAGCCTTGAAGTTCTTCTCCTCCTCTGTGATAGCTCTGGCCTTCTCCTTTTTGTAGACCTGGAAGTCATATTGTGCAATGAGCCCACAACTTTCAAGACTACCTCAAACCTGTGAGGCAGAAGGAGCCATGCTCTGTGCACCTCACGATTCCCACACACCAAATCTGGTTTCTTGGTTGTAACAATTTTTGTAGAAAGGAAAAACTAAAGAACCACTTGATGGGCAAATCAGAGACCAGCAGCACCAGATCACCAGAGGTGGCCTGGGCCTCCAGGCAAACAGGATGGGAATGATTCAAACTTGTTAAGGGCAGCAGAGGGCTCCCCACCCCAAGCTCGCTATCTCAGAACTACAGGGATCCTAGAAACCTCAACAGCCACCAATTGAGGGTGCCTGACACTCCTCATTCACCACTCGATCTTGTCTATAGCATCAGTACTAGGACCAAGGTCTGAACAAACTAACTGTCCACTTACGTTCCGGATGGGCATCACCGGTCCTGTCAGCTGTGTGGCCAATTTGAGTTCTTCAGCCTGTGTGTTAATAAGTCAAATGAGTCCAGTTTCACTTGCAAAGGCCCCCATGCTTGTTAGACCCAGCACCCATGCGTGGGTCCTGTGCTCCTAAAAGAAGCCACTGCCCGGGGCTGGGAAGGTGGCTCAGTGGTAGAGCGCTTGCCTTGCATGCCTGAGGCCCTGGGTTCGATTCCTCAGCACCACATAAGCAAAAAGAACAAAGCTGGAAGTGCTGTGTCTCAAGTGGTAGAGCGCTAGCCTTGAGCTGAAGAGCTGAGGGACAGTGCCTAGGCTCAGAGTTCAAGCTCCACGACCGACCAAAAAAAATAAAATTCCTTTTCAGGGGCTGGGAAGGTGGCTCAGTGGTACATCACACTTGCCTCGCATGCATGAGGCCCTGGGTTCGATTCTTCAGCACCACATGAGCAGAAAAAGCGGGGGCTGAGGCTCACGTGGTAGGTGCTAGTCTACAGCCGAAGAGCTGAGGGACAGCGCCCAGGCCGAGTTCAGGCCCCATGACCGGACCCCCCCCCCAAAAAAAGAAACCACTGCCTGTATCTGCTCACATCCCACAGCTCAGTGAAACGGCTCTGCCCATTCACAAAACCTGCGCGGCTGACTGCTTGGTCTGTAGCAAGGTACTACACACCCCATCCTCCACTCGCTACTGGAAGTGCACATAAACAGACACCTCCTCAGTGGGTCCTGCTAGGAAGGCTATTTCTGGATATAAAACATCTGAAGGAAGGGGCACTATGATCAATGACAAAGTGCTGGTTCCAGGCCAGACAGCCGGCCACAGGAGGCAGAGAAGCACCACAGAGCCCGTTGTTGGTTGATCATTAGCATCTGTCTTCCCACTAAATCATCACCAATCCCCTGCCCTCTCCACACAATGGCCATGAAATGGACAAAGGTGACAGGACTGCTTTTCTCTGGTCCCCAGGAACACCCACAGGATGCCCTTGCTTTGAAACCTAGATTCTCGGACCGCTGCCACACCGTCAGGCCTGGCACAGATGCACTCACAGAGCTGTCTCCCTTCTTGGGGGCCGAGGGCTTCCTGGGGAAGAGGAGGAGCTTGGAGCGGTACTCCTTCAGCCGCTGCACGTTGGCCTGCAGGGACTCGGTGGACTTATTCCGCCTCCTCGGGTCTACGGAGATGCCAATGGTCCGGGCCACCTTTTTGTGAATGCCGGCCACCTGCCCGGGAAAGCCGAATGAAGGCCGGCGCGGCCTCTGCCCAGCGCGGCCCCGGGAGGAGGCTCGGCGTCAGATGGAAAAGGGTTCAAAAGCACTTTCATCAGCGAGGTGCAGCGATTCCGGAGAATGTCATCACACCCCGAGCGCGAGGGACGACCCCAAGCCACCCCGCGGGCCGGCCGGCCGGGACTCACCCGCAGCTCCTCCAGGCTGAAGCCGCGGCCCGCTCGGACCTTGGTGTGGTACCTCACCGTGGGGCAGCGCACGATGGGCCGGATGGGGCCGGACGCGGGGCGCGGGGCGATGCGGCGCGCTTTGGCCTGCCGGGCCTTG